GAGAGGGAAAAAAACGCAGGGGATGGAGGGAGCTGGGAACAGCCGAGGCCTGGGGCGGCCTCCCCGCGGGCAGCCGGCTTCTCACCTGCGGTAGCCGTAGAGGCCGTGGTAGGTGCTGCCGTGCCGCTCCGGCCGCCGCTCCTCGCCCGCGCCGCCGCCCTCCTCGCTGCTCTCCAGCTCCCGCTCATCACCGTCCGGCAGCGCCGGCAGCATCGCGGACCGAGCCCCGAGCCCGGAGCCCCGAGCCCCAGCCCCGCCTGTGCCCGCAGAGCCGCCCCGGAGCCGCCGGGGCACGGTGGGTGCGCTGAGCCCGCCCCGCGGAGCCCGCCCCGGGCCCGGCGCTGGGAGGAGCGTTCGGGGCCACGGGAGGAGCCGCGGGAGGAGCCGCGGGCCGGGGCCTCACCCCGCCGAGACCCGGCGTTGGGAACGGCTGCGGTGCCGCAGCTCCTGCTTGCGCAGTGCGGGACAGGGCGGTACAGACCCCACGGGGCCCGTGTCACTACAGGCGATCCTTCACTCGCCTAACGGCAGGACCCGCTCAAATCACGTTTTATAGAATGGTTTGGGTTGAGACACCTTAAGGATGATCTCCTTCTGACACCTTGTTGTGGGGGATTTGGCAGGATTAGCCATGCTGTCTGTTTCTAGAAAGCTCTGCCTCTGAAATACCTCTTCCTCTGTCAAAGCAGCACATTTGTTCGCTCCTGGCTGTCCCAGCTGTTACGGAATCACAGAACCATTTGGGTCGGACGGGACCTCTGGGCATCACCCAGTCCAGTCCCCTGCCCAGGCAGGGTCACCTGGAGCAGGGGACACAGGAACGCGTCCAGGTGGGTTTGGAATGTCTCCTGAGTCTCAACGATTCCATGATTCTGTTCTAAGCAGCTGGTGGACTGGCCCAAAACTGGAGAGCCATGAGGATAACACAGACACACCCTGTGATGGGTTTTCAGTGTAACAGAGGGACCAGCCCCTGGCCAGGCACAGGAAGCTGAGGAGGGTGACAACAAACACATTTCAGTTGGTTTTATTGTGTTCTTGGAGGGCTGGGCTCCCCCACACCCCATGGCCTCACTGTCAGCAGATGGTAACATGGACACAGCCAGCACGACACTGCTTAGAACAGTCTAAGCAACACCAGTTTCTTGCCCCATCAGATTTCGTACAGAAAACACTGTCTCTCTGTGCCATTAAATATGAAGTTGAGAAACAGTTTAGATTAAGTCTTAGGAGGAAGTTCTTTGCTGTGAGGATGGTGAGGCCCTGGCACAGGTTGCCCAGAAACGCTGTGGCTGCCCCAACCCTGGAAGTGTCCAAGGCCAAGCTGGACAGAGCTCTGACCAACCTGGTCTAATAGAGGGTGTCCCTGCTCACGGCAGGGAGGGTGGAACGAGACGCTCGTAAAGGTCCCTCCCAACCCGAACCGTCTCATGACTCTGTAACTGTGACACGTTCCGGTCCCTCAGCACTACAGGCTGGGCACAGAGTGGCTGGAGAGCAGCCAGGCAGAAAGGGACCTGGGGGTGCTGATCGACAGGAGGCTGAACATGAGCCAGCAGTGTGCCCAGGTGGCCAAGAAGGCCAACGGCATCCTGGCCTGCATCAAGAACAGTGTGGCAGCAGGAGCAGGGAAGTGATCCTTCCCCTGTACTCTGCGTTGGTGAGGCCACACCTTGAGTATTGTGTTCAGCTCTGGGCCCCTCAGTTCAGGAAGGATATTGAGGTGCTGGAGAGGGTCCAGAGAAGAGGAACGAGGCTGGTGAAGGGACTTGAGCACAAGCCCTATGAGGAGAGGCTGAGGGAGCTGGGGTTGTTTAGTCTGGAGAAGAGAAGGCTTAGAGGTGACCTCATCACTCTCTTCAACTACCTGAAGGGAGGTTATAGCCAGGTGGGGGTTGGGCTCTTCTCCCAGGCAACCAACAATAGGACAAGGGGACATGGGCTCAAGCTCTGCCAGGGGAGGTTTAGGT